ACGCTTGGAATATCACGTCCTAGTCGACCGACGTACGTTCCGACTCCTGGGAGATCAGTGCCCTAGGGACGGACGACGTGCGGGTCCACTTTGGCATTCAACCATGCGCACCTATGCTATAGCGAACGAGCAAACGCCCTCGGCCGGCCTACCTCTGCAATTGCATTATAAAAGCCTTTGCATGTGGGTCGGTAGCTCGGTGGGGATACGCTCCAAGGGTGGTGACAGCCCCTTAGGGAAGGTAAGTTGTGCCCCGCGAGAACCTATCCTGTCGTAGGCAACCGCGGGATGCACAGTCTGGCGCACTCGGCCAGAGCGGCGAAGGGTCGACGTGGGTTACAGTGTCGTCCCCGAGTTGTCTCTGAAAAATTGAAAGTTTAAGTTTCTCCTACGTAACGCGGTCGGGACGGCCCTCGCTCGCACGGGGGCTGATGCGCTCGACACCGAAGCGTACGTACCTTTGACTTGCGTGGTCATCTGCTCTCTTTGCAGAGCAAGATCGCGGATCTGCTGATAATTGTACTTACCAGACTTTGACTCTGCCACGAGCTGTCCACGAATGGGCTCGGGCAATGCTCGTGAGTACATGTAGAGGATCTCGTTATCCAACAATCCAGGTACCTGTAAAAGACGGTCAACTTCACGAGACAACGCATCGACTAAAGTCCAACGTTTCTGGCCAATGGTGGTAAGTTCGTCGAAGCCCTTATCAACGGTCGTCTTGTCGAGAAATCTCTCCTTTAGTTTTTGGAGAAACTGTCTCGATGTCAGGGTCTTTGCCCACTTACTGATATCCTCAAAGCCAGTGGCGTTGGCTTCGGCCAGCACCCATGCCTTGACCACTCCTCCCAAATAAGACGTGGAAAAAGCGACCCGACTTTCAGGCTCCACGTATGTTGTCCCTACGTAGGTGTGGATTTCCGCAATCGTCAAGAACAAGTTCTCTTCCTTCTTCGTGTTGTACATAAATAACAGTTTCATTTTAACCTTTTCTTTCTTCTTTGTTTTTTTCGCTTCCTTCACCGGTTCTTCTTTCTTTTCAGTGGGTGATTCTTTCTTCTCAACTTGTCTCTCGGGTTCTGTCTTAGAACCTTCGGGTTTCTCGGGTATCACTCGTTTCATTGCATCCTTCATTAATTTCTCTTGGGTTCCTTCTTATCTTCTTCCCCCTTGGCCACCTCCTCATACACCACCTTTTCTTTTCCTTTAGCCATTCTGACCATTGTCTCCATAGCAGCGGTGTTACGGTCAATCTTCTTCTCGAGATGAACGAGGTAGACCAATAGACTGAAGAATAGATGCAACCTCACTACGTGCTTCTTTGTTATAAAACTTTTGCCTTAATTCATTCATCACTCTTTTTTCTTTTTTTTGTTGTTCTTTCAATCTCCGGTATTCTTCAATCTTCCTTCTCTCTTCTCTTAATGTATTCTCTAGCTGTCTAGCGTTTTTTTCCATTATTTTCACAGACAATTGTGGTTCCTTTCTTTCTTCCCTTCTTTCCTTTTTTTCTTCTTTTCCTTTCTGGTCCATCTTTTCAAAGCTCTCGGCGATATATTGATCAATGATCAATTGTCCTTGTCTTATAAGGTCTTTGACCCTCGTGCCTGTTTCCATCATATGAACGGCAGTCTTAGCGGCCTGCAGATCTCTTTCTGCATGTGCACAACAGAGAAATACGGAGAAAGGAGACAAGAGAGAGAGAAAAGACAAAGGACTAGGACGGGACCGTAGGAAGGAATGATGCCTTGGGCTGAGTACCGTAGGGTGAAGGATCCGGCAATGGCAAGCAAGTGAGTGACAGGACGTAGGCACATAGGGGCATAGCATGGGGTCAGGAGGGCCATTCGAATTCGGCATGGCAAGGACCCGAGGGACCCTGAACTGAGCAAGCGAGGCGCGACAGATGACAAGAGAATAGTGAAGTCGAAAGGTGGACAGCCCTGGTGGCCGCGGGACACTAGAAAATAAGGGCCTAACGTGGAGGCCACCAACGACAATTAACGGAACCCACGGATTGAAGGCCCCGCGGCCGGAGGGACCGGCACACGGAAGGCTCGAGAAAAGACAGAGAAAGGGGGCCACCATAGGGCGGTAGACGCCAAAAGAAACTAGGACACCAGACCACGTGGGGCTAAGTAAAAATAATGGTATCCGGGACAAAATATCGACGGGACCACCGGCGGGACAAGTATCGGAGGGACCACCCGTGGAATAAGTACCAGCGGGACCACCAGGCGGGACAAGTACCAAGGACTAGCGTGGGATAAGAGGCGGGGATATGAGAAGGCCTCAAGAAGGATTGTGGAGCGACATGAGGGAAAAATAATTAAAGCAAGGTGTACCGTCAAGATCAAGATCTTGACGACCAAGAATATTAGCACCACTAATGCAAGCACTAAATGAGTGAGAGGGAGGAGGTGAGTTGGTCATCAGTAGGGACTGCCACAAATAGGGACAGGCAGGTCCCTATTGTTCAAAAAGGGAAGGAAAAAAAAAAAAAAAAAAAGAGGAAAAAAAAAAAAAAAAAAAGCCTTTACAGTAAAAAACGGCCACTTAGGGGGATACATCCGTGACCAGATACATTTTGGCATATGTCGGTTACAAAGTATCTTGATTTTCTCTTGGTTTTATAGAGAAAAAAAAAAAAAAATCAAAACCTCATGCAACCGATACAACGGATTGCATAGGGGAAGAGAAACACATATTTTAGGTGCATCGGGGGCCAATATTGAGCCCGAATGCACTTGAAAGTTTGCCACTTCTTTTTCCTTCAGTTTTGGGCTAGTTGTGGGGTAATGGGGCTAGGAAATTGACCCCTACTGCAGTCCGAGTTACAACGGACTGCATGGGGAAGGAAAAACACATGTTTTAGGTGCATCCGGAGCCAATATTGAGCTCGAATGCACTTGAAAATTGAGCGTTTCATTTCCTTTCAATTTGGGGCAAGTTGTGGGGCTGTGGGACTAGGGAAATGACCACAGTTGCATTCCGAAAAATAACGGACTGCATAAGGATGCCTAGGCCAAGAGAAAATGAGCCATGACAAGCCCAAAAGGCTAGAAAAGAGTGACCTCGGCATGAGGTAAATCGAGACGGTAAACGACAACCGTGAGACGAGGATCTCGCGACCGAGAATAATCGGCGCACATGAGGCACTTGAGTAGGGGATATTGCAATTGACAGGGACAAGGAAGTCCCAAAATAAAAATGGGACGTCATTCGAGACGATATTGAGACTAAATGAGCCCAAATAAAAATAGTCGAAAAATGAAACATGCGTCGGTGGGACTACCGGCGGGACAAAAAAATGAAACTAGTACGGGGAGAGTGGCGGGAACTTGAGATGTCCCAAGGGAACCATGAGCCAATATGAGGAATAGTCGCGTAAAGCAAATGATACCGTCGAGATCAAGATCTAGACGGTGAAAAATATTAGCACCACTGGTGCAAACCCCAACACAGAAAAAAGGTTGTCAAAAGAAAATCAGAGCAAAGGGGGCTCAAAATTGAGACTAACGAAGGCAAAATGGAGCCCCCCATGAGCATGGGGGCGTCATTATTGTAATCTGATATTTAACCACCAACTGTTGAGTTGAATCTGGTCATAGATGAGGATTCATGGCCTAGAAAAAGACTCAACAACCACTTGACACTTGTTACATCAAAAATAAAATAAAATAAAATAAAAATGAAAGAAAATGGAAGAGGAATGAGACAAAGGGGGAGAAAAGAGTGGAGGGGAATATGCCGGCCTATTGGGACTGGCACAGTAGGGACTGGCAGGTCCCTACTGTGACCTCATCCCTCCAGATTTAGTGGAGGGCAATCCGGATTGCAGAGATATGACCCTTGGGGCAATATCTCTGCAAAATCTGAATTAAAAAGGAAAAATTGAAAGAAAATGCAAAAAAAAAATGACTGGTTTTCTTTTCGGCCATGGATCTGAAGATTGGAGGAGGGAATATGGCCGTTTTTGATGAGGTCAACTCAAACGGCCAACTCCAGAACGAGTTGGCAGCCCAAAATGGAAAAAAACAAAACAAAAAAAAATAAAAAATTGTGCATTTGACCCAAACGGAGGACCAGATGCACAAAAAACTGAAAAAGTGAGAAAGCTCGGAATATTGTTGGCCTTGGCCAGATCCAAGGCTGAAAAAGCACAGAGGCATAGGAAAATACCTCGGCCTACCAAAAATGGGGTAGAAACTGAGAAAATCGAGAAAAAGGCCCACTAGGTCTTTTTTTCACAAGTGGAGCTGCGCCTTGGGCATTTGGACTCCAGGGGGGCAACATTTGAAAAAGAAAAGGAGACCAAGGGAAGCCAAGAGGCAATCCGAGTTGGTACCAACCACTCGGACTGCATGTACTTGGCCAAAATAAGACCCAGGTACCCTCGAAGGGGCCTAGTGGTGGGTTTTTGCCTAGGGGGTATCTCGGTTCACTTGGAGGCACATGAGGAGGCTCATGGGCTGGCCGGTACTCCGGTTTCAGCCTACATAAGCCGAGGGAGCAGCCCGCCACACTCACATTTGCATGAGGTGTGCCCATGCTTCCCAAGTAAGCTCATAAGAGCACTTCTTTCACTTGGAGTAAGGAGAGGGGAACCCCTGCCAGTTTGGGAGCTTAGAGGAGACTGTGGACTGGTGTGAGGAGCTCTAGAGGCTGGTGGTAGTGAGGCTGGCCTAGGAAGGTGATCCGCCATAGCCCCCAGGCTGTGAGGAAGAGGGAAAGGCTAGAGAGAGTCTCATTAGCCCTCCTAGAGGGAAGGACTCCATAGCCATGGTGATAGAAGTTTGCCATAGCTAGGAGAGGACTGAGGAAGAGGAATGGTGAAGGCTTAAGGAAGAAGGGAGCCATAGCCAAGTGAAGGAGAAGCATCATCAAGATTGGTACTTCAAACTCCAAGATACTAAAGGAGGTGAGTGGAAAGAAGGAGAATCTTTTTTTTTTTCTTTTTTTTCCTTCTTCTTCTTCTTCAAGCTTCTCCTTCTTCTTCTTCTTCTTCTTCTTCCTCCTCTCCCCTTTCTTCCTCCCCTTCTTCTCCTCCCACTCCTCTATGTTCCCTCACCTAAATTCCCTTTGGTTCTTCTTCCTCATCTTCTCTCTCTCCATAGGTACTTTCCAAAGCTTAGAGTAGGTAGTAGGAGGTTTTGTCACTAGTAGTGGTCTTCCTATGGGCTCATCCTTCACTCCCATGTGAATCGCCACTTTCCATTTTGTGATTTAATGCATAAGAGTGAGTGAAACTCACTCTCCCTTCACTTTCTCTCCATTTCTTCACTTGGGAGTAGATCGCAACCTTGGTTTGTGCTCATTCTAGTGTTTTGGATGATCTTTCACTCTTGTTTTGTCCATTCCTTTACTCCCATGTGAATAGCTACTTTCCATTTTGTGATTTCATGCATGAGAGTGAGCTTCACTCACTCTCCCTTCACTTTCTCTCCATTTCTTCACTTGGTAGTAAATTGCGACCTTGGTTTGTGCTCATTCTAGTGTTTTGGATGATCTTTCACTCTTGTTTTGTCCATTCCTTCACTCCTATGTAAATCGTCACTTTCCATTTTATGATTTCATGCACGAGGGAGAGTGAGTGAAACCCACTTTTCTTTCACTTTCTC